CCCAAAAGTGACGACAGTTACAAGGTTCCGGTGACCCGCTGAAATGCGGGCCCCATAGGGAGAGGGTTCCCGCCTGAGACACTCAGGCCTCAGCACCCCAACAGCGACGACAGTTACAGGGTTCCGAAGCCCGGTCGGATTAAGAAGATGAGGTGCGGGCCCCGTAGGGAGAGGGTTCCCGCCTGAGACTTCCTCGCGATTCCCTCACAGACGAGGCTCCCTACTCAGGCCTCAGGAACCCAAAAGTGACGACAGTTACAGGACCCCGATGACCCGCTCGGATTATAAAGATGAGGTGCGTGCCCCATAAGGAGAGGGGTTCCCGCCTGAGACGTCACCGCAATTCACTCACACACGAGGCTCCCGCTCGAGACGCCCCCCATATTCAAGCTAGGGAGTGGGTGGTGACGAAATGATGAGTGAGCGAGTGGTGATGAGGATGATGCTGATGATGATGACGATTGGTGATGATGATGAGTGGCCGAATAATCGAGTGGCCGAATAATCATGTTGTTAAAAAGAATGAGGATGATAATGATAATGATTGATCGAATGATGAGGATGTTGTTGATGATGAGGATGATGATGGTGTGAGTGCGAATGATTGTGATGATGATGATGGTGACGATGATGAGGATGATGATTAGTGACGATGAGTGGTGATGATGATGATGCTGAGTGAAGGGGAGAGCGGTGGGAGGGGAGGTGAGGTTCCTGCGCGAGGTGTCCAGAGAAAACAAAAACCTCACTTCGGATGTGGAGAACAATCATACTCATCATCACCACCACCATCATCATCACCACCACCATCCTCGTCATCAGCATCACCACCTCCAGCATCGCCGACACCACCATGATCACCATCATCCTCGTTATCATCAGCAGCAGCAACATCATCGTCATCGTAATCATCCTGTTCCTCATCATCCTCATCATCATCAGCATCATCATCCTCCTCATCATCACCGAAATCATCATCATCCTCATCATCATCATCATCATCCTCCTCATCATCATCGAAATCATCATCATCATCATCATCATCATCATCAGCATCATCATCATCGAAATCATCATCATCATCATCATCAGCATCAGCATCAGCATCAGCATCAGCATCCGCATCATCATCATCATCAACATCATCAACATCATCATCAGCATCATCATCATCGTCGTCATCATCATCATCATCATCATCATCATCATCATCATCATCATCATCATCACGGCTCTCCCGCGCACAGGTACACAACGGGCCACACGCGACGGCCTCCGGCCCTCCTCCCACGGCCGCTCTCCCCGGCGTGCCGGGCTGAGACCTGCCCCGCAAGCCTCGGGCCAGGGACCAGCGACTACGCGACGTGGGCGGCGAAGATGGGGCCCGACACGATCAGCTACAGCACTGGAACCGTGTCATGCGAGAAGGGGGAGGTGAAGTTGGAGCCCACCGTAACCAGCCGCAGAGACACGGCGGGATGCGAGAAACTGGAGGCGAAGACGAAGGTCGAGCCCAACGTGACCAGCTACAGTGCAGAGAGCCCATGGGCGGAGAGGGAGGCGAAGACAGAGCCGAACTTGATCAACTACAGTGTCGAGGCGCGCGAGAAGGAGCGAGAGACGTACGAGCGAGACGGGCGAGCAGTGGCTGCTAAGTTGGCGAAGCTGGAGCCCAATATCGTTTGCTACTCCTCGTCGAGCCTCGCCGCCACGGCTGGATCAGAGAAAACGGTTTGCGAGCAGTGCGTGAAAACTGTTTGCGAGAAGTGTGAGAGCGAGCAGAGCGAGAAGGAGGAGGCGAAGATAGAGCCCGACATCACCCGCTACAGTGCTTGGATCAGGGCATGCGAGAGGCGGAAAGCGAAGCTGGAGCCCGACATCATCGCTGGCCACAGTACTGAGAACAGCGCATGCGAGAAGAGGGAGGCGAATACAGAGCCCGACACCATCAGCTGCAGCGCTGGGATCAGGGCTTGCGAAAAGGGGGAGGCGAAACTGGAGCCCGACCTCAGCATTGAGGGGCCTCCAAACGAGTCTTCGAATTTCCTTCCGACCGACCTGGTTTCTGGAGAGCCGAAGAGCGACCCCTTCGAGTCCCAGGCCGACCTCGAGCTGGAGGCAATAGTGAGCGCACCTGAGAAGGCGGACAGGACGTCCTCTCAAGAGCCCTCCCATCCAGGTGCGCAGACAGCCGCGAACATCGTCGACACGCGCGCCTGCGAGAAGGGGAACGCGAAGCTGAGCAGCTACTGCGTCAGCAGGGCCATGTGGCACGCACGCTCCCAAATCGCCAGCACATGGCTAGAAGGCGGCGAAGCGATCGAGCCCAACGCCATCAGCTACAGTGTTGGAATCCAATGGGAAGCGGAGGACATACATGGAGTGTGGGGGCCCCTTCCGAGGGTTGACCAGAAAAAGGTGGAGAAGCGATATCAAAGATATCTCCACGGTGAGGAAAGCGGCAAGTTCACGATCACAGGGTCGAACGGGAGGCCCACGTGGCCCCTCAGAGCAGATTTCGACAACATGCTGCTCCTGAGGGCCACAAGGGCGAAGGCTTCGATCAAAGGCATCAGGATACGCAGAGTGTAATTGCGCTGCGTGAGAGAGGAGTTTACATGCTGTATGAGTGAATTGCAGCGTGGTTGTTCTGTGCTGCGCTAGGGGCCCCAAGCGTTTCTGGGCTCCCGAAGCGGCACCCGCCTAGGCGAAACTCGACTGCGTCGTCGCCGAATTCTCCCGAATTCTCCTCCTCCTCCCCCTCCCTGCTCCACCCCTTCGCTGCCTCCCTCGCCCCCACGCGGAGGACCCCGAGAAGCTGCAGGCCCTGCTCGAGAGGGAGCAGGCCCGCGGCCCCACAGCCAACCCCCGTATAGGGAGGCTGCGCGGTGAGGATACGCGGGCACTGGCCGCCCGCTTGGCAGCTGTTCGAGCGGGGCGCGGCCGGCGCAGGTGGCCGAGGAGGGACCGAGGAGGCCAGGGTGAAAGTGTGCACTTAATTGAGGGATGAAGAAACGACCCTACCCTGGGTTACAAGTGCGTGGTCTGTAAACCTCCTGGGAACCCCCAAAGTTTAGAGCCGCCAGGACGCGGCACATCACGCAGGGTTTACCCTGTCAGCCCACAGGAGTTTCAGCGCACAGCGCCTCGTAAACCAGGGTAGGGGCGTTTTTTTTATGCCCTTGACTTAAGAGAATGTCCCATCCTTGCTACGCGGGTTGACTGTATCCCTGATCGGTCAGCAGGGGCCCCAGCGGCGCCCCAAATTGGACGCATGCGAAGAAGCCTGAGGGGGCGCAACGGCACATTCTGGCTAGCGGCTGCTCTGGAAAGCATCGCGACGTGCTTCGTTCAAGGAGCGCTGGCTGAAGCAGCCTGGCCGGGATATGGTTTCGACTGCGCGCTGGGAGAAGCAGCGGCCCTGGCCGCGCTCCAAGCAGCAAACCGAAGCCCACAAGAGCGTGCTCAGCCTATAGCGTAAAGGTTCGGAGGACGTTTTCTCAGGCTGCTCGTGGAAGAATCTGAATCAGTATTCCCTCGACCCCAAGTCTATTCCTCTCGAGTTTTTGGCAGCAGTGACGAAGCGCGGAAAGGGGCCACCACGTCAAAGTGCAAGACCTAGATGTCATCGCCAAGATGGCCCAAACCTGACTTGGCACGAAGCGATGGAGGAGTAGAGTGGTGAAAACTGAATCATACTGGCGTAACAACAAGAGACCTTGTCTGGAGCCAGCACCTGCGACGACGAGGCTTTCGAATTGGAAACTAATGTGGGGATCGGAGGTGCACCAACAGCTGAGCAAAGCCCCAAGACCGGCACGAGCGTAGAGGTACCCTACCGATATCCAAAGTGGTCAATGCTCTGCCGAGAGGTAATACATATTGGGTTCGAGCCAAGATGGCAAGGCTATAACATGGGGAACACTCGGTGGATCAGTTCTAAACCATCTTACGTAAATACGCCGCGTTGTGAAAATCTAGCGCTGAGCGGGTGATCCAGTAACGCATGAGATGGACGTCAAATCTAACCCACAGCTGACAGACAAATACATAGCGCCCCGACACAAGCCTCCTCCGATATGCAGCAACCGTATGTCAACAGACTGCCGAATGCTGAAGTCCTTGCGAGGAGCGTGCTGAGAAGCAGTCGAGTACCGTCCTGGGAACGACCGAAAACGGCAGCGCGTCGACCCGTCCGCTGCGCCGGCAGGCTCTGCCCCTGCGAGACGTCGCCGCTGGGGCTCTGGTGCGAGGCGGGGATTTATCCATGTCCACCGCCTTGTGACCTCCTCCTCCTCCTCTTCTTCCTCCTCCTCGTCCTCCTACTCCACCTCCTTCTCCTCCTCCTCCACCTCCTCCTCCTCGTCCTCCTCCTCTTCCTGCTCCTCCTCCTCCTCCTCCTCCTCCTCCTCCTCCTCCTCTTCCTCCTCTTCCTCCTCCTCGTCCTCCTCCTCCTCCTTCTCCTCCTCCGATGTCCTGGAGCCCCAGCGGGCGGTGGATATGGATATCTGTTGGCCCCCGGGGGGCCGAATAGATCCACATCCACCGCCCGTGGAGGTCCGCGAAGATCGAACCCCCAGACGATGGTTATGGAGAAACCGCCGCCGCGGACATGGGCCCCTCTGAAACTCAAGGGGTGCCCGACTGGCACGCAGGCCCAAAAACCTGGGAGGGCAGTCGGCAACTCTGCACCCAGAATGTAAAGAGTCTGTACAGTCGGGGCGTTGACCTAAGGAACCCTAAATGAGGAACGAGGCCCCTTTTTTCCACAAGTTAAACTTCGATTTCCGATCGAAAACATCAGGAAAACCTGAGGCAAGCTGTGAAACACTTAAGGAACACCCAGCCCCTCCCCAACGAAAAGGGTTCCTTCTTCAGGGCCCCGACTGTAGACGCACACTGAGGGTAGTAGCCGGCAGCACTCAGGCACGCACGTGAGAGCAAGCACGCACTCACGCAGAGCGTCCAGGAAGGCGGCGCGATGGCAAGTCAGCGCGTGCCTGGATAGCCCATGCCGCCAGCGGGCATCCCTGCACCTGCACTCGGCGCAGTCACCGGTCATGGCATCCACCCGTGCCTATGATTCCTTTCCTCGTCATGTCATGCTCCTCCGTAACCCTCCTCCTACCCGTGCACCACAGACATCGCAGTTTCCGTCAGCGTCACCGTCGCCCATTGCACCCGCCACCGTCCATTGAACCTGGCTGTTACACCAGGTCCAGAACAAGCTATCTTCAGGCTTTGGCCCCAATATTCTCGAAGTGGGCCTTCGAATCCACGCATTGGCTTCACGAATGTTCGAATCCTTGCCTGGCATATCAATTCTAGAGCGATCAATCGTTGTACTCGTTTCCCTCCCTCCTTGGTAGATTAGTCACCCAGCTCCCTCCCCTCCTCCTGTTGTTCCTCATCATCCTCCTCCCCCTTCTCCTGCTCCTCCTCCTCCTCCTCCTCCTCCTCCTCCTCCTCCTCCTCCTCCTTCCCCCTCTTCCTCCCTCTCACTCCGTCCTCCTCCTCCTCCTCCACCTCCTCCTCCTCCTCCTCCTCCTCCTCCTGCTCCCCCTCCTCCATTTCTTCGTCGTCTTCCCCCTCGCCCTGGGCTGCGGCACATCCGAGCTATAGCCAGAACGCCCAGGCGAGCGCAGCGGCTGGTGCCGCCGAAGGTGCTGGACTGCCCAGAGCAACCATTTACAGTTATCGGCCTGACATAAGGAACGATACATAAGGAACGAAGCCCCAGTTTTTCCAAGGCGTAGCGCATAAGGAACGATACATGAGGCATGCAAACATGAGGAACGGCCGAGCCCCATGAGGGAGAGATGATAATAAGGCACAAGGAACGACCGAACCCGTTTTGAAAAGTAAAAGGTCCTTACTCAGGCCGCTCATTGTAGTCGGACATGGTTGCGAAACGCCGGCTCGAAGCAGGAGGATGGAGAGGACGACGACAAGGCTCCCAACAAACCAGACCTGCGCAAGGGTCCCGCCTCAAGCATGTGTCCCAAGCAGTGCCTGCGTTAGCGGTTCTTGCCTAATACTGTTATACATCGCGGCCGGCGCGTGCGCCGGTGGGCGTTTCCGGGTGTTCACCCCTTGCCCGCCCATGGCCGCCTCGTGGCCACCCCGTGCGCTGGCGCGCGCTTCCAGGTGCACGCATCCGCCATCCTGCCTCCGGGGCACGAAGTGGAGCGCCGCTGTAGATACCCGTTGTGCCACATAGATTGCATCGCACAACTTGCAAAACATAGACACATTCTATCGAGAACGCCCCTCATATCGCACCGCAAATATTCCCCTTTCAAGAGAAAAGTAGAAGCTACAACCTTCCTGAGCCTGGGGTTATCCGCACCGCTTGGAGCTTTGCAATTTACATGTGATTCTGGCTCATCGTTCGTTCGATTTGAAGCCATACCATCCCAGCCACGCCGGTATCGACCCCCCTCGCAATCCCTCGTAAAAAATACGCTGCGGTGCACATGCGTCGAGAAGTAGCGTTGTCAAGAATACATTACGGGACACATGCGCGCGCCGCCGCCCGCGAAAGTCAAAATCTACCAAAGCAGCGTATGTTTCACAAGTGCAAAAACAAAACGAATCGAAAACGATCAAAAAAAAGGCTCCTCCACAAACAACTTGCCAGAATTCTGCTCACATAACAAAAAGTGCTTAGCCAATGTAGCAAATCTGAACATCCGGCCCACTAGCGCGGACATCTCGAAAACGCTCAACAACCGCAATCGCGCGTCCACCAGTCCTGTCAAACAATAACATGAGTGAGGATCACACGCGTGCGTCTCCGCGCGCGCACGTCGAAATCCTCCCGAAACCAATGGTTGTCCAACTATTTCAACACTGAGGTGTTCAAAAGCATGCGAAAGACAAATGGCTTTCAATCAACACGTCAGGGTGTCTCAGCTCTTACGGGCGCGAATTCTTTCATATCCTCATCAGCGCAGTCGTTATCAACATCGTTGATGAGTCTTGGGTTTACACTAGTCCTCCTCCTCCTCCTCATCATCATCAACATCATCAGCAACAGCAGCATCATCAGGAATCCCTGCATCATTATAATAACGACCAACATCAGCAGCATCATCATTATCATATGCGGTATGATCATCATCCGCATCACCATCGTCAACCTCAGCACCACCAACATCATCAACAGCAGCATCATCATAGGCACCACAGACACCACCGACACAACCAGCATCATCAGCATCATCATCCTCATCGTGATGATTAGCGTAGTCACCATCCTCAGCAACAGCATCAGCATCGCCACGATCGTCATCAGTATCATGATAATGACTGGCATCAGCATCAACATCATCATCATCATCATCATCATCATCACATTCAGCAGCGCATCATCAGCAGAATCCTCATCATCATCGTCATCATCGCCATCCGCAGCAGCAGAAATATCAGCATCTTCATCATCATCATCATCATCATCATCATCAGCATCATCATCATATGCATCGTGAACAACTTTGGAATAATCATCGCCAGCGCCATCGTTGCCAACGGCATCATCGTCACGATTACATTCGCTACCATCACTATAATCGTCGTCGGCATCGTCCCGCCCGCATCTCAACTGTCATCTTCGTCGGCATCGACGGTGTCACCACTTTCATATCCATCGCCCTTGAGGGCCGCGATGGCAAACATCATGTGCCTCGTCTGGGAAAAATGACCACCATGTCATGCAAACCCTGGCGCCCTGTCACTGACAAAAAAGTCCGCGTGGGCGCCCTGACACTGACAAAAAAACCGCGTGGGCGCCATGATATCTCAAGTGTTGTTGCTGTCATGGCTTGTTTCTTGTCCGGCGGGCGCTGACCGAGCGCGCGGGCGCCGACGCGCCGTGCCCAGGACAGGCCACGTGCACCGAATTAGGGGGGGAGGGGAGGGCCCCCACGACCCCTGCAAGCACAGGGGAGTGCGCGGCAGCGGGATGGTGGGGGGCGTTTCCTCCGCGAACGGGTTGCTGTCACGGCTGCTCAGCGTGTAGCTGCTGATTGGGACCACAATCCGCTCGGCGTCAAACGTGGAGCGTTGGAATCAGGTCAGGGTTGGGACCTGGGCCTCGACAGCGCACCCGCCCTTGCCGTATCCGTCGCCCTCGTCATCGAAGTCGTCGTCATCATCATCATCATCATCATCATCATCATCATCATCATCATCATCATCATCAATCATCATCATCATCATCCTCCCCTCCTCATCCTCCTCCTCCTCCTCCTCCTCAACTCCCCTCCTCCTCCTATCCTCCCTCATCCTCCCTCCCTCCTCCTCCTCCTCCTCCTCCTCCTCTCCTCCTCCTCCTCCTCCTCTCCTCCTCATCCTCCTCCTCCTCCTCTCCTCCTCTCCTCCTTCCTCCTCCTCCTCCTCCTCCTCCTCCTCTTCCTCCTCCTCCTCCTCCTCCTCCTCCTCGTCCTCCTCCCTTTATTCCACCTCCTCCTCCTCCTCCTCCTCCTCCTCCCCTTCTCCTCCTGCCTCCATGTGAACGTTGTTGATTCGGCGTTTCGACATTGGGGAAGGGGGAGGGAGAGGGGGGGAGAGGGGGTCTGGCTCCAGACCTCTGCTCAGCGCGGCCGTTTGCAGCAGTGCGCCCTATGGCGGAGATCCCACCTGCTCAAGACGGGCGCCAAAGACGGCCGAGATCTGCTCCACGAGGGGGGGGAGGGGGTGCCGAGGCCCGCGCCGATCGGCAAGACAATGAATATCAAGGGGCCCTGGGACACACAAATCAATACACACAAATAACAGGATTACCCATATTTTCCCATATTTTCTGGAGTATTGTCTTCCCCATCCACTTCCCACATTTTCCCATATCTTCTAAGGAATCGTGGATGAATTGTGTCTGTGTGTGTGTTTCCCCTCCTGAGAAGAACCCTTTTCTGCCTGCGCGGATTCTTCCGGCCGTGCTCGCCCCCCCCCCCTTCGCCCCTGCACTCTGCGACGGGCCGGGGAGGGCGGGGCGGGGGGCGCGCCCCCCGGGAACGCGGGCATGCCGCCCGCCGGGGGGCCGGCTCCGGGCGCCCCGCCTGCGGCTTGGAGAGGAGGAGAGACGAGGAGAAGGCGAAGCGAATCGACGAGCGGATCGAAAAGGAGGAGGCGGAGGAGGAGGAGGAGGAGGAGGAGGAGGAGGACGAAGAGGCGAGAAGGAGGGTCGGCGAACGAAACGAATCGGATCGGCAGGAATCGGCCGCCAGGTCGGGAGAAGTCGGATCGGCGTAGACCGGCAGGCCAGCATGCTTACCAGCCTGGAACATATCCCTATCCCTATGCTGGGCACCTCCTCATCACGATGCCAACCTTAGGGATTCCCTTATTTTTTGAGGGCGAATCCCTAAGATTGTCATCGCCTTTTGGCGTGTCAATCTTAGGGATAGGGATACGTTCGAGGCTGGTAAGCATGCCTCCAGTGAGGAATCGGAGCCCGAAGCGGAGCCCCAAGTCGAATCGGAGTCGGAAGCCATCGAAGTCGGATCGAATCGAATCGGAAGAATCGGAACGAGCCCCTGAAGGGTGGGCGCAGATGATCGCCGTGCCCGCGTGGCAGAATGGCAAGGGGCGTCTGACCTCGGGGCCAAGGCCGGCAGGCCCTTCAGGAGAGCCAACACGGTTCGAAGCCCTGTCTCCTGCGATGTCGTTGCACGTGTCTCCTGCTTCTCTCCTGGATGCCTCCTGCCGTTCTCCTCGTTCCTTCCGCCTCCCATTTGCAGGCCTCCTGCCTCCAGCCTCCAGCCTCCTCCTGCCTCCAGCCTCCTCCTGCCTCCCAGCTTCTTGGGGGGGGGCCCAGGGACACACACACACACACACACACACACAAATCAATAGACACAGATCCCAAGATTCCCCACGTGTTCCCGTGTGTTCTCGAGCGTCGCATTCCCCGCTTGATCGACGAGGATGTGTGTGTATGTGTGCTGTGTCCCCTCCTGGCTGCCCCTTGCCTCCTGCCTCGCCTCGCTGGGGCTGCCACCCCGTGCATGCGGCAGCCACCTTCGCGGGGCTGCTGGGAGGGCCAGCCCCCCCCCCCCCGACGAGCGCGCCCCCCTCGGTGCTCGAGCTGCCGCCGCCCAGAAAAGGCCGAGCTGCCGCCGGCGACGGGACTTGCCGCGAGCACCTGGACCGCAGGCTGGACGATTCTGAAGGGGCCCAAGGGCCCAAGGGCACACAAATAAATACACACAAATAGAAGGATTCCCAATATTTTCCCATATGTTCTTGGTTTTTGTCTTCCCCCCCACTTCCCATATTTTCCCATATTTTCCTGGGAGTCGTCGATTAATTGTGTCTGCGTGTTTTTCCCCTCCTGAGATTCGGCGGCGCGCCCTGGGGGGGGAAGTGAGGGGGGGGCGTGCCTTCTCGGAAGGCTCGGCAGGCCTCCGCCCTCCCGAGGAGCCTCCTCGGCCCTCCCCGAAGGCCCCAGAACACTCTCCGGAGGCGCGAGGAGGGGGTTCTGGGAAGTCCCGCCGCCCGTCGAGGAGGCCTTCTCCTTCGCACGTCCCCCCCCCTCGCTCGCCGCCGCCGAAACAGGTTCGACGGCGCGCTGCGGGGGGCCTGCTGCCAGGCGCCTGGTCCTCCAAGCGTGCCAGATGCGGGAGCCCCGCTCTGACAGAGGGCGCGAGAAGGTGAGGGCGGAGAGAAGGGCGATGAGGGGGCGGGATGGGGTGCAGGAGGGGAGAGGGGAGCAGGAGGAGGCGGAGGAGACCAAAGAGGGGGGGAGCGGGGTAGGAGAGACAGGAGGGAGGACAAGCCAGATGCGCGAGCGCCACATCTGACGTCATACTACTCCCTGCCATGCGGTCAGATTGTGCTGTCTTTGCCTGTTCGCAGATCCAGCTGTCGAATCAGGCCTTCATCCTTGAATTACGTTCGCAGCGCGAGGAGACCAGGGACCAGGCGAAAGATGGAGGAGGGGGGAAGATGAGAACCAGGAAGGCAAGAATGACGACTGGGAAGAGGACGAGGAGGAAGAGGAGGGCGAACGAGGACAACGACGCGGACGACGATGACGACAACGACGAAGACGGCCGCAGCGAGCCTCCGAGCAGGCCCAGCGCCCGCCGGGGCAGGCGAAGCGCAAGCCGCGGGACGGGCGTCGGCAAACCAAGACGGTCTCTGGGGAGAGAGGAGAGAAGTGTTCAGATCGAGTGCAATGGAGCTTGATCTCCATATTATCTGGATTAAAGAGACTACGCGAGAGGACACAAGACCCTCCCGAGGGCCACACCGCCATAGGAATGTAGAAGGCAAGAGTCGCAAAACACAGGACATAAGGGTACCCTTGATCTGGCAGGGTCGCGCGAAACACGGGACACAAGGGTACCCTTGCTTTGGCAGGGCCGGCCAACTAACGGCTGCTGTTGTAAGGGGGGCAGGAGTGCGGCAGGCGATGAGGCGAGGAGGCACCTCGAGAAGGCCGAAGACGAGTGGCAGAAGACGATCCGAGTAGAACAACATGATAAGGGGGTAACCAGGCCGAAGACGGCCCGAGCGGAACAGAATACACGGGAGTAAGATCAAGCTACCGAAAGCCTGTGTGAAGTGCGCGCGAGAAAGGCGCGACCCAGCGAAGCACGGCATCTGGGGAGATAGGAGCGCGTTTTTATATGTTCGGCGATAATACACATTCTGGGGGGGTGGCGGAGGGGCCAGGAGGGGGTATAATGCAACGCCTCCCCCCCGCCGTGCGCACGGCGGCAGCGCCCGGAGCGCCCTGGGGGGAAGGGGCGTTGCGTTATAGGGGGGGGAGGGGGGGGGAGGGGGGGCTACAATGCCCATTACGCCCCAAGTCGGGGATGGACAGACCCCCCTTTAGCAAAACGTGGTTTAGTGAAAACGACCTGAGGCCCAAACCGGGCGGGCGCAAGCCTGGAAAACAGCGGCCACGGTGCACTCTCGAGAACCGAAAGCGGACAATTCACGAATCGACGTGTCACTGTTGGGGGTTCTGTCCACCCCCGACCAAGCAGCAGAGAGACGCGCTCGAGGAGAGCAGCGGATCTCCCCTGCGGAGCAGGAGCAGGAGGGCAAGAGGGCCGTGCTCCTTCCGGAGGCGGCCGGGCGCGGCCGGCGGAGGCCTGCTTTCTCCACTCGGCCTGGGGCCCGGGTCGGGGGCTGCGGCTCGCAGGCCGGACGGGGCTCAGAGTCCACCCGCGTGAGGTACTGGGATGACCGTGGGGGGTTCTAAATTGAGCGAGCAACGACATGTGTACATGTACGCCCTCCGCGGTCTTGCGTGCACGAACCTCCGCGTTCAAACGCAATTCGGCGGAAACAAACCGCGTACATGTACATATGTTGTTGCCCTCTGATAAATGGATAGGGGGGTTACAAGTGGATGCCAAGGTGGGTTGTATCTGGCCCAACCTGGCTTATAAGGGGGTTACAAGTGCCCCAAGTAGCTTAGGAGGGGTCGATAACTCGGCTAAGTGGGCGGAGCCCACCTAGCCCAGATCGCTACCCCCCCTAAGCTACTCAGGGCACTTGTAACCCCCTTATAAGCCAGGTTGGGCCTGTCATAACCCACCTTGGCATCCACTTGTAACCCCCCTATCCACTTAGGAACCCCCACGGTCATCCCAGTGCCCTTCCCAAAGGTACCCTGCATCCTTGCCCCTTCGGCCCATCCTTGGCCACTCTCGCCGGCCATGCCCCGCTCGAAGAGCCTCGAGATGGCCTCCTGGGGCCCTGGCATCCTCATCGCGCATCCCTATGATACGGCCCGACTGCGAGCGAGAACGAGCTATTGCAGACGCAAGTATTGGGCGCCCGAGTTATCCGGGGGAACTCGGGTCCGGGATAACTCGGGTTTGGATTCCCGAAAAACGAACACGAGCTAGCCCTGACCCGAGTTACCCTTGATGCTTTGGGGCTCTGGCTCGAATTATCCCGGGGAGCTCGGGCCCGGGGTAACTCGGGCTCGGAATCCTGAAAAACGACCCCGAGCTAGCCCTGACCCGAGTTGCCCGTGATGATTCGGGGCTCTGAGAGTACCCGTGGCCCTCAGAACCAGTTGGAAGCCAGGCAAGGGCTGCTAGATCCGTGGCTGCTAAAATCGACCTCCGGGAAGCTGTCTTCGTCCCTCCGGGAAGAAGCCCGGTGATTGCTTCGCGTGCCGCGCCTCGTTCCGGGAAGTCGTTTTTTCCTTCCGGGAGTGCCGTTTTAGCAGCCACGGTTTTAGCAGCCCTCGCCCATCTTTCGATTTGGACGCCCAGAATGGGTACGGAAACAATGAGTACAATGCCCAACAGCAAATGTTGTCCCGAACCAACAGCGTCCGCTGTTGGGCAGGCAGCCTTCTGTCTCAAACGGACACAGGCCGCGGCGGCGCGGACAGCGAGTCCTGTTCAGAATGAACCAGGTCCGCTGTTGGGCATTGTACCCATTCTTTCCGTGCCCATTTCGCTCGTGCAGACTTTCGAACCAGGGTTAAAACAAGGCTAGGATCGGGATAAATCGCTCCAGAGCGTTCCGGAGCGCTCTCAGAGCGTTCCGGAACGCTCTGGAGCGGCCGCGGCGCCCAGTACATCCTCCAAGCCCGCCGATTCTCAGAGATTTCGAGTTATCCCGATCCGATTTTGTCCCGATCGTCGCGTCGTTTGAAGGGTGCCCCGCTTGGACTGCTGCGGGTCTGGCCGGCGAGGGCGTGGCCACGGACCCCCCCCCCGGGGCTCCCCCGCGGTAGGCGGCAGGTCGGGGCACCGCCGCCTAGGCCGAAGCCGCCCATGGCCCCGGCGGGCGCCGCGCTGGCGGGCGCCTGCCGCGGCGCCAGGCGAGAGGGAGGGGCGGGGGGAAGGAGGGGAGGGAGGGAAAGGGGAGGAGGGGGGGGAAGAGGAGGGAGGGGGGAGAGGGGGGGGGGAAGGAAGGAAGGAAAGGGGGGGAGGGCGGGGAGGGGGGGGGGGGGGAGAGGAGGGGGGCAAGGCAGGCGGCGGGGGCGGAGCGAGGGGGGGGGGGGTGGGAGCGAGGAGGCGCGCGCCCGAGCGGCTCAAGCGAGGGCGGCCCTTGGAGCACTGGGCAGGGGGGAGGGACCGCGAGAGGGGGGGGGGGGAGGGGGGGGGGGGGAAGAAGAGCGGGGGGGGGGGGGGAGGGGGGGGGCGGAGAAGGGCGGTGGGGGTGGGGGGGGGAGCAGGGAGACACGGCAAGGGAGGGGGAGGGAAAAGGCACGGAGGGGGAGAGAGAAGGGGGGAACGGGGGAGAGGTGGGGGAGAAGGGGGGGAGGAGGCGGGAGAGAGGAGGCGGAAGAGGAGGGGGGAAGAGGGACGCAGGGGGTCAAGGAAGAAGGCAGGTGGTGGCAAGAGATCTTCCCTCCCACTTGCCCCACGTCCTCCGACGGGGTGGCTGGCCCTTGCGAAGGCAGCGGGCAGCAGGGCTTGCCTGCAGAGGGCTCAGAGCAACCAGCACTGGATGCCACCTGCTTTCTCGCCCCTGAGCAGACGGAGAGGGGCAGTGGACGTGGATTGGGTGGGACCGACTGGACCGGGTTGGATCGAATTGGGTCGGGGTGTACTGGAGAAAAGCTTGAGATGTATTGGACAGGAGCAGCTCCAATATTTGAATGGGTTGGACTGGACCCGCCTCGGTTATATGATGGATAACAAACATTGGCTGCAATGGGATTGATTGTGAAAACGTTGGATTTTGGAGCAAAAGGGCACCAGCAGCAAAAGGGCACTGTGTTGGTGGTAATAGTTCGGCCACCTAGGATGCCCGAATATTACCACCATCACCGCAATCGGGATGATCTTCCCTGGGTGGAGGTCCTCAGCCGACATTGGTATTGGTGCAAACCTCAAGACCTCCGAGGTTTGAGTTGGATTGGATGAGAACGGATTGGGTGACATCGGGATAATGAGATGCCCCCCAACGCTGGGGCAAGAGGGGGTCCGATGCTCGCTCTAGTGGCTCTGGGGCCCCGAAAGCCTACCACCACGGGGAGAAACACTCGCACAAAATGGAGACCTCCTCGCAGCGCAAGCCTTACGGCCCGTTCACAGTGGGCCCCCACACCGTGGGCGTCCCCAGGCCCTGCAATGGGGGGGGGAAGGGCAGTCCACAAGAAACCTTCCTTCCACAAGAAACCCAACCATGAGACCCCGGGACGTCCATTGATCTCTGGTGTGGGAAAGCCACGCGTTCCATCGCCGCAAAATCGTCGAAACCCAAGAAACCCATGGCACCCTGGAGGCGAACAGAGTGTTTCTTGGCATGGGTCTCCCCTATACGGCCTTCTCCAGTGGGCCCCCACACCTTGGGCGTCCCCGGGCCCTACTGTCGCCAGGGGGCGGATGCAGACGTCGCGGTGCAGCAAGGGCAGGGACGATTCTTGACAGAAGAGCACAAGCAGCACCTGCGCCTGCACACCGCCCGCGACCGCCCGAAAGAGAGATCCCATCCGAGGGCTCCTACGTCACATGCTTTAGGTCGGGCCTGTCCCCCTACAGGCAAGAAGTATTCCAAAAATGCTCTCAAACAGTGCAAAAGATCGTCCCCTGACTATCTTTGGACTATTTTTGAACATTCCCCCTGTAGAGGGACACGCCCGACTTAACACATACTTTGTCTCCACCGTCGCTTGCTGTATTGCTGAGCGCTTGTACTTCGAACGCTGAGCCTTGCACCCCGAGCACTGGCCCACTGGCAGTCGTCAACGTAGTCGCCCTCTGTTCCCGTCGCCGAGCCGCGCGGGGGGTGCGCGCACGGCCCGCGGTGGCTCCACGCCCCAAGGGGGGCCCCACGAGGGCCCCCCGAACAGGCCCGAAGAGCACAAGCTCACTGGTTCCCCCTGGGTTTCTGAAGGAGTCTGGGGCACCCTCCTCCTCCTCCTCCTCCTCCTCCGCCTCCTCCTCCTCCTCCTCCTCCTCCTCCTCCTCCTCCGCCTCCTCCTCCGCCTCCTCCTCCTCCTCCTCCTCCTCCTCCTCCTCCTCCTCCGCCTCCTCTGTCTCTGGGGCGCCCGCGCTCTCTCCAGCCTCAGAGAGCCCCCAAGACGGCCCAAAGTTCGCCCCAAAGCTCGCCGCACGACGGCCCCCACGGCGCTCCCACGGAGGCCCCCCGGTGAAGGGGCCCACAAACACACAAATAAATACACACAAATAAAAAGATTCCCCATATTTTCCCATATCTTCTGGGTTTCTGTCTTCCCCCCCACTTCCCATATTTTCCCATATTTTCTGGGAGTGGACGATTACTTGTGTCTGTGTGTTTTCTCCCCTCCTGACCCGGGGCGGCAAGAAGACGGCTTCCGGGCGGCCCAGGGAGCCCCGAATACGAACCACGAACCCCCCAAAGAGCCCCAAGACGGGGTCGACAAGGGGGGAAGCGAAGGGATAGAACAGAGGATGGATCAGGGGATGTAGCGTGGGATCCTCGAATGGACCAGAGATGTGGGGCCCAACCCTGGGATATGCGATGCGGGGGCGTCCATCCTCGAGGGGGGTGCGTCTGGATAGCCCCCTTCGGGTGTATCCCAGGGTTACCTCCTTTCCTGAGCGGCTTCATTCGTCGTCGAAAAGTCGGTGGCTGGGGGAGAAACACCGCCTGCGAAGACAAGCTCCCCCCCGACACCCCCACGAGGCGCCAACATCCCCCTCCATGAGTCCTCCGAGAGGCGCGCCTCCGGGCGCGCGGCGCGTCGCCGTGCTCCGCCTCGCGCTGCTCCGTGGATTTCTCCCCACGGGGCCCCTCGAACATTCGCCACCGAGCCTGCCCCGAGTGGGCATGTTAGAATGCTCTTCTGCTGTCTGGCGGTGTTTTGTGGTGTGCTTTCTATGGCAAACCCCCCAGGGCCGCGCGCGATGTTCAACAAAAACACACACACACTGAAGTTGCTCTCTGGAGGTTGTGCGGCCCCCAGACGACCAGGATGGCCTCAAAGACTGCTTCGAAGAGAGCCACAGCCAAGCTGGCACCACGAAGTCCCAAAATGGCCCAAGACCACTCAAGAGGCTCCCGAGACGGCCTCAAGACAGTCTCAAGAGGACGGCATAAAAGGAGTCCACGAGGCCCTCCAGGAGAGCCTGAGGATGCAAAACCACTGCTATCCCCCAGGTGCTTGAAGAAATGTGAGGTTCTCGCCTGTTTAGGTGACCCAAGATGCCTCCAAGATGGCAACCAAGGCAGCCCAGTGGTCGGCCCAAGAGGGCCCCCATAGACCCCGAAGACACCCCGAAGAAGCCCCCGAAGGACCCCAAAAAGGCCGCCGACGGGCTGCCACAGCTTCCGACTAGACACCATGCTGAGAAGCACCCCTGTGGGCATGACAGTGCGCGATCTGCGTGAGGGGTGCATTTGATGTTCAGAGCTATGCGGATGTGTCGAGCGAAACGGCCAAGAACAACACGCTGACGGGACTTGAGCGTCTTCAGTCGCATCTGAACTCTGCCCCCTCGGAGAGATCGTACGATTGTGTGTCATGTGTAGTGTAAGTGCGTGTGTGTAAACTTGCGTTAAGTTCGTTCATGGCGCAAGAGGGGATGCGGAGAAGACAGCCCGCTGCTGATTCCTCTCCTCCGCCCTGGAGGGGAAAGGGCCATGCCGGCGAAGGGGTCGAAGGTCGCCGGCTTGGGCGCCGCAGGAGCGGCCGACCTCGGCAGGTCTCACAAAACTGGCTGTCCCCGCGATCGCCCCCACGCGCCCATAACGACAGTGACGATGGCGGCGGCGACGGCGGCGACGTCGACGCTAACGCTTACGACGACAAAGGCGACGACGACGCCGACGGCGGCGGGAGCAGCGACGGTAACGGCAGCGGCGGCGGTGGCGACGACGGCGACAACCAGGTTGATACGAGGGTCCAGGTGGTTGGACATGTTCGGCCCCAGTGGATGATTCCACAAGCCTCTGGGGACCTCGAATTCGAGGCCTGCCTTGAATTATCAAAACTATCCCCTGTCCAATCCCATCAAATCTGAAGGCGTGAGTTGGTTTGGGGAGTCTGTGTTTCCACCCTCATTTCGTCCCACTCGGGGGTGGTTTTACCCCTCCCCCTATCCCCCGATAGAAGGCTTCCCCTCCCCCCCAGCCAACCGAAACCTCCCGGGGACCTCTCGGAACCCCTTTCTGGTCCCTCGGGGGAACCTTCGGGGCATCTTCGAGGCCTCTTGGGGAGCCTCTCGGAACCTAGGGGGACCTCTCGGGGCCGTGTTGGCGCCCAGGACGACAGCCCTTGTTGGCCATCTACTTGGGGCCCTCTTGGAGACCCTTTAGGCTTTTCCTGGGGCCGTTACGCTTCTAGGGCCAATGGAGGCCCCTCCGGGACCCGCCTTCGGACCGTCGAACTCTCCCAGGGCCCTCTTGCAAAACTCTCGAGGCCTCAAGAGCCCGTCGGGAGCGAAAAAGCGAAAGGGCAAAAATTAGCAATGGCCCGTGAAGGAGTTGGGGCATCTTCGGAGCTCTGGCGGCGTCGCGGGGCCATCTTTGGCCGACTTGGATGGCTGCCTTGGCGTGTCTTGCACGGTCTTGTCTCGTCTTGTCCACGTCGTCTCATATTGTTTGGCCTTATATTGCCTTATCTGTTTGCCTTGAGCCGCCTGGGGAGCGTCGGGGCCATTTTCGGATCGTGGGCGCGCCACCCCACACGGGCGACATGCCATGGCAACGCAAACGTACAGAAAATAAACGAGGTGCCTCCTGGGGGGGCGCTTGACCTTCTTGGCCTGTTCGAGATTTGGAGCTGTTTGGGGCCGTTCCCTCTCATCTTAGCTCTGGGCCGTCCCTGGGCCCACCTCGGAGCCGCGCTGAGGCTCTCTGGAGGCTGCGGGGGGCGACAAGGCCGAAGGCACCAAACTCGCTAGCCCAACAGGCTGTAGACGCGCTGGAATCCTAAGGAGGCCCAGGGGCACACAAATAATACACACAAAGCCCAGGAATCCTTACATTTCCGCATATTTTCTGGTTTTTCGTCCTCCCCCCGTTTCACATCTTGCCCCATATTTCCTCTGGAATCGACGATGCATTGTGTCTGTGTGTTTTTTCCCTCCTGAAATCTCGGGCGCGAGGTTCCGAGCGTCTGAGCAGCACCAACTCGCGCCCACGTGGCGGCCCCCAGGACCCGCCGGGCGAGAAGCGTCCGGGCAAGATCCTGGGCCGCCCCCATGGCAATGAACATGCTTTATGATGCCGTACCCCACCCTGGTACCTCCTCCTCCTCCTCCTCCTCCTCCTCCTCCTCCTCCTCCTCCTCCTCCTCCTCCTCCTCCTCCTCCTCCTCCTCCTCCTCCTCCTCCTCCTCCTCCGCCCCACAAGACATGCCACAGGGCATGTGCAATTGCGCGCTGGCCACAGCACGTCGGCGACGCGGCTTCTGGCAGTGGCATGGCACGACGGCCAACAGCACGCGCCCTCACGAGCGCCCCGCCGCCTGTCGCGGCGACTCCCTTGTTGGGGGTTTGAAAGCAACCCCCCGACGAGTCGGATCGGTGATGGCGTCGCTCCTGGGCGCTGTCTGTGGGGAAACCGAGGAGGTGCCGATACCGCTACTCCCCGGACCTCTGCCAGGGTGCGTTCTGACCAGGGTCACGAGGCGAATCCAGCGGCGGCGGCGAGGGCCTGCGAGGAGGCCCAGAAAGGGGAAAACGAGAGAAGGGTAGAGGTATATGGGTACTAATCTCCTCCTCTGAGTCTGAGGACCCTCATGAGCGTTCCACGGGCGCTTCCCCCCACCTCAAAGCTGCGCGTCCCGCTCCCAGGATCAGGTCGGGCATGTCCACCTACAGGCGGAGCTTGAATGAAAAACGAGAAAGTACCCCCAAATACCCAATATTCAAAAATGGTCGAAAGATCGTCCCCTGACTATTTTCCAACTATTTTTGAATTTTCCCCCTGTAGATGACAACCTACCAGACCACCCCAACCCAACCCGAAGACCCGAATTTCGGGTTGGGGGGGGTACGGGTTCCATACGTGTTTTTTCGATGCTCCCTGGCCCCCCCCCACTGGAAATGGAGGGCAAATTGGGGCCTTCGGGTTGGGTTGGGGTGGTTTGGTGGTTTGGTGGGTGGTGAGCAGAGGGACAGGCCCGACTCAACACCAGGCACAGCACGGCACGGCACGGCACGGCACGGCACGGCCCGCGCGGCAGCACCGGGGCACGGCACGGCACGACGCTGCACGGCACGCCGGCGGCACCCTCTTTCCGCACTCCAGAAAGGGCACGTTTTTGTTCGGCGTTTCTAGGGGGCCACGTGCGAACCCTACGCCTACCCCCCACGATTTCTGAGGGGCAGGGTGGGGTTCACTCCGTTCGGGAGCTCCCGAGCGAAGTGAACCCCACCTCCCCCTCAGAAATCGTGGGGGGTAGGCGTAGGGTTCGCATCTGGCCCCCTAGTTTCGACATCGGGCGGCAAGGGGGGTGGAGGGGGGGGGGGTTCTGGCTCCGGGCCTCTGCGTAGCGCGACTGCTTGCAGCAGGGCGTCCACTACGGGGGAGGCTCCGCCTGCTCGAAACAGGCGCCAGAAACAGCCAAGACCTGCTCTGTGGAGGGGGGGGGAAGGGGGGGTGCGAGGGCCCAAGCCGATCGGCAAAACAAAGAATTAAAAAAAACGACCACACAACACGGAAGGCGGCCACGCCACTGCACGGCCCGCGGGCGCGGCACAGCACGGCACGCGGGCGGCAGCCTGTCCGCCCCGAAGCCGCGCACAGCACGGCGCACGGCAGGGCTCGCGGGCACGGCCCCGGCGCGGCACGCGGGCGGCAACTGTTGGGCGCCCGAGGTATCCGGGGTAACTCGGGCCCACTCGCCGTCGCTCGGACGTCCATTTCCCGTGTTTTTGTGCGGTTTCGTGCGTGTTTTTTTGTGCTCGTTGGTCGAGGATGGTCCCCGATGGTTCTCGCCGAGAAAAAACTGCACGCGTCCAAGCGATGCCAGGGCCCGGGGCAACTCGGGTCCGGATTCCCGAAGAACCGAACCCGAGTTCGCCCTGACCCGAGTTGCCCCTGATGATTTGGGGTTCTGGGCGCCCGAGTTATCCAGGGCGAACTCGGGTCCGGATGCCCGAAACACGAACCCGAGTCAGCCCTGACCCGAGTTGCCCCTGATGATTTGATGATTTGGGGCTCTGGACGCCCGAATTTCGCGGGGTAACTTGGGCCCAGGGTAACTCGGGTCCGGATGCCCGAAACACGAGCCCGAGTTCGCCCTGACCCGAGTTGCCCCTGATGATTTGATGATTTGGGGCTCTGGACGCCCGAATTACCCGGGGTAACTTGGGCCCTGCCAGGGTAACTCGGGTCCGGATGCCCGAAACACGAACCCGAGTTAGCCCTGACCCGAGCTGCCCCTGATGATTCGGGGCACGGCACGGTACGGCATGACAAGCACGGCACGCGGGCACTGCACCGCGTCGCACGAGGCGGCACCTTCCCTCCACCTCCATCTTCCATACCTTCCGACCTCTGCGGAAGGCGCGGAAGGTGATGCATTGAAACTATCGGCAGGCGCAAGAAAAGTCAGCGTTTCACGGAGCGCGAGAGTGTGGAAGGTCAGCACGGAAGGTCTGGAAGAATGAGGGCGAGGGTGAGGGTCCTCGAGCTCCCAAAGGCCAAGCACACCACGGCACGGCACGCTACGGCACGGCACGCGGGCGGCAACTGCTTCGCGCTCCCGGCACGGCACGGCACGGCACGGCGCGCGGGCGGCACCATTGCCGCACTCGAAAAACGGCACGACAAGGCACGGCGCGGCTCAGCACGGCGCGGCACGACAAGGCACGGCGCGGCTCAGCACGGCACAACACGGCACGCGGGCATCAACTCGGGAATATAATCCCTTACAGCACCTGCGGCCTCATGGAACACATATGGGTCCTCGCGGAAGAGAGAAGAGCCTAGGTTCCTGCTGCTGCTCATCCTCCTCCTGCTCGGCCAGCTGCTGCTCGGCCTCCTCCTTCTCATCATCATCATCATCATCATCATCATCATCATCATCAGCATCAGCAGCAGCAGCAGCAGCAGCAGCAGCATCATCGTCAGCAGCATCGTCATCATCACCATCATCATCATCATCATCATCATCATCATCATCATCATCATCATCATCATCATCATCATCATCAGCAGCAGCAGCAGCAGCAGCAGCGCCATCAACATCATCATCGTCAGCAGCATCAGCATCAGCATCAGCATCAGCATCAGCATCAGCATCAGCATCGTCAGCATCGCCATCATCATCAACAGCATCATCAGTATCATCAACATAATCATCAGAAGCAACAGCACCAGCAGCAGCACCAGCAGCACCACCGCACCAGCAAAATCATCATTAGCAGCATCAGTATCATCATCATCATCAGCACCAGCAGCAGCATCATCAGCATCATCAGCATAATCCTCATCCACATCTTCATCATCATCATCATCATCATCAGCATCACCATCATCATCCGATTCAGACTCATCCTCCTCCTCATCATCATCATCATCATCAGCAGCAGCATCGTCAGCACCATCATCAGCATCAGCATCAGCATCATCATCCTCATCATCATCAGCAGCAGCATCATCATCCTCATCCTCATCCTCGTCCTCATCATTTCTCATCTTCTCCTCCTCTTCCTCATCCTCATCCTCATCTTTTCTCCTCCTCCTTCTCCTCCTCCTCATCGTTCTCCTCCTCCTCCTCCTCCTCCTCATCCCTGCTCCTCCTCGTTCTCCTCCCTCCTTCCCCCCTTCCTCCCCCCCGGGCTCCTTCCTCATCGCTTCTTGCCTCCCTCCCTCCTCCCCCCTCCTCTCCTCCCTCCTGCGTCTCCTCCTCCTCCCTCCTCCTTCGCCCCTCGCCCTAGCACGAGGGCCTCCTCCACACCCCATCCCCGACCAGCATTGGCCACACGCACGCTCTGGCGGCGATGCCTTGCTGCTCGGCCGAGGCTCTGCGGCCTTGGCCGCGCCCGTGTCTGCTCGGCGAGTGCGATGAAAAACACGATCGCGTATGGATGCTCTGCCCTCCCTCGGCGCTGCGGCACTCATGCCGAGAAGAAGACGAGGACGATGCATCCACCAACCGGCGTAAACCAACCAACCTTAGGTCGGGCATGTCCCCCTACAGGGGGATGTTGGGAGAAAAAATAAAAATACCCCCACAAATTCCCAAACATATATACATATGTATATATATATATATATATACATATACATATATATACATATAATACACACATAAATATATACATAAAGAAAAAATGCTCAAACAATCGTCCCCAGACTATGCTGTATCCTATGTTTGAATACTCCCCACGTGGAGGCACAGGCCCGACTTAGCACTAATGCCGAAAAGAAGATGAAAACGATGCATCCACCAACCGGCCCAAACCAACCAACCTCAGGTCGGGCGTGTCCCCCTACAGAGGGATCTTGGGCGAAAAATTCAACATGCCCCCAGAAATACTCCAAAAACGCTCCAAAAATGGTCCAACAAATCGTACTCCAAGAATGCTCCAAAAATGGTCCAACAAATCGTCCCCACACTGTTTGGTTTGACTATGTTTTGCATGTTCACCCTGCAGAGGGACAGGCCCGACTTCAAAACCAACCACTTCCAAAATACTTCCAAAATTCTCCAGAAATACTCCCAAAATGCTCCAAAAATGGTCCAACAAATCGTCCCCACACGGTTTGGTTTGACTGTTTCTTGCATGTTCACCCTGCAGAGGGACGGGCCCGACTTCAAAACCAACCACCCGGCCCCTCCTCCCCGCCCGACCCCCGCAGGAGGTCGGCCGCGGGAGTGCCGCCCGCCGGCGCCGGCGGGGCCCCCCGACCCGGTGAAGGGGTCGAAGCCGCCCATCGCCGAGGGCGCCTGCAGCGGGAGGCGGGCGGAGGGGGGGCACGGGGCGAGAGGGGGGGGGGGGGCGGGGGGGGGAGAGGGAGGAGAGAGAGAGAGAGAGGGAGGGAGAGGGGAAGAGGGAGGGGCAGGGGGAAGCGGAAGAGAGGGAGAGAGAGAGAGGGAGAGAGAGAGAGAGAAAAAAAGAGAGAGAGAGAGAGAGAAAGAGAGAGAGAGAGAAAGAGAGAAAGAGGGAGGGGGAAGGCGGCAAGGAGGGGAGCCAGCGGGGCAAGGAAGGGCGGGGGGAGGGAGGGAGGGGAGGGAGGGTGAGGTAGGGGGAGGGAGTGGGGCGGGGGGGGGGCAAGAAGGCACGGGGGAGGGGAAGGAATCGAGCAGAGGCAGTGCGGGAGGGGGCACGGGATAGAGGAGAGGAAGCGCCGACGGCGTGGCGGTGTCAAAGCTCAGGCCCATGAGGTCGTTGGCCGGGGTCGCTGGAGCCTGCCCCGCTGCACTTCTTCAACGGCAAGTGAGGCGCCTAAAAGCCACGACACGGATGACACGTTCCCCGAACCTCACAACTTGAGCGACTGGCAAGTGGACATCGAACTTGTCCTGCCAGAGGAGCCCAAACTTCAGCCTAGGGGGGTCTCCCAAAGCCAACACGTGCGCCCACACCAACAGAAAGCAGGCGCCAGGATGTGATACGATGGCAAAAAAACAATGCACTCGGAAGATCAACAGCCACCACACGTCTCAGGGCTTCGCTCTGGAATGCAGAAGGTGGGTTGAAGTGCACACAGTGACTTTGGGAGTGTCGGCATCCACCACTTGTGTGAAGGATCAACTACGCCGTGCAAGAAGTGAAAAGACGTATCTGTGTTACCAGCGTTGACAACCACCACGCATGTGAGCCCAATGATACGGATTGAAGTCAGGGGGGCGGAGGGAAATGGTAAAGATCACAAGCGGTGCAAGACCAGGCTGCGATGATCTCACGAGCGAGACCTGCCCCGCACTGCATCAAGCGAGGCCCGATATACAGGCGGACTGCGACAACCTCCCAAGCGAAACCTGCTCTCTGCACCGCGTCGAGCCGGGCTCCAAACTGGGCCGAGTGCGACGACATTCGAGCGAAATCCGCCCCCAAAGATGCCGAGCCCGCGGCCAAACCAGGCCCGGCGGCGGCACGAGCCGCCAGCGGAGGCCAAACAAGGCCAACACGAGGGGCCAAACCGGGCAAGTTCCGAGGACCTCCCAGGCTCATCAGCCGAAACTGGCTCCATCCACTCCCCTTAATCACATCTCATATTTCGGAGATCTTCTGACCCTGGTCAATCCAGACCCGGGTCAGTCAGGCCTTGCAGCATCCTGCAAGACCCTGCACCCAAACCCGGGTCAATGCGAAGGATCCTGCAGGATCTTGCAGGACCCTGCGCCCAAACCCAGGTGAATGCGACCCTGGCCCTGCAGGATCCTGCAAGATCGGGCGCTCTGGTTGACCCCCGTTTGCGTTGACCCCCGCCTCGTAAGCCCCGACACTTTTGGAGTCCCGAAACGGTGCGGTGACAGACCGTGCGGTGACCTCGAAATCCCCCAGGACCTCACCGCACGGTCCGTCACCGCACGGTTTTGGGACCCCGGAGGCCCCAGTCGCCCGAGACGTCCTCGGAGAAGGCCTCGAGTCCCAAAACCGTGCGGTGACCCCGAATCCCCACCGACTCACCACACGGTGTGGTCACCACCCCGTTTGGGTGCCCCCGACACTTGAAGGAGGGAATGACCCCGGGGGGGAAACCTACAGAGGCGCGCGCCTCTTGGGAAATATGTGGGGGGGCTTCCAGGCCCGCGGGGGGCCCGCCCCATGCTGCACGGGCGGGCGCGATAGCGCTGATTTTGCATTTCCGGCGACAGTTGGGGTCGAGATGTGCGTCTGGGAAAGAGCGTGTTCTACCGCTGCTGGCGGAAAACCGGGGGGGGTCACTACCGGTTCGAACCCCACCCCCCCCCCCCCCCTGCTCATCATGAAAAGGGGGGGGGGGGTCACTACCGGTTCGAACCCCTCCCCCCCCCCCCCTTCCGGATCCGGAAAACCGGGGGGGGTCACTACCGGTTCGAACCCCCCCCCCCCTCGAAAACCGAGTGGGGGTGCGGACAGTGGTGGGGACGGTGTTGGTGGGGACAGTGGTGAGGGGATAGCGGGACAGTGGTGGGGACAGTGGGACAGTGGGACAGTGGTGGGGACGGTAGTGGTGGGGACAGTGGTGGGGACAATGGTGGGAACAGGGGGGGACAGTGGACAGTGGTGGTGACGGTGGTGGTGGGGACAGTGGTGTGGGGACAATGGGAATGAGGTGGAAACAGTGGGACAGTGGAGGGTACAATGGTGGTGGGGACAGTGGTGAAGGCGGTGGCGAGGACGGCGGTGGGACAATGGGACAGAGGTACAGTGGGGACAGTGGTGGGGACAGTGGGGACAGTGGTGGGAACAGTGGGACAGCTCAGTGGGACAGCGGAGGAGTCAGTGGGACAGTGGGGACAGTGGGGATAGTCGGGCAGTGGTTGGGGCCGTGGAGACAGTGGGGAGAGTGGAACCGTGGTGGGAACAGTTCTGGGGACAGCGGGGACAGTGCGACAGTGGTGGGGCCACTGGTGGGGACAGTAGGGGCGGTGGTGGAACCAGTGGGGACAGCGGTGGTGAGGACAGTGGTGCTGGGAACACCAGTGGGGGATGTGATGCGGACGGTGGTGGGGACCGGGAGTCGTTTGCTGGCGGTGAGTAGGGGGGGGGGGGTGCGAACCGGTAGTGACCCCCCGGTTTTCCGGATCCGGAGGGGGGGGGGGGGGGGGGGGAGGGGTTCGAACCGGTAGTGACCCCCCCCGGTTTTCGAGCGGGAGGGGGGGGGGGGGGGGGAGGGGTTGGGGAGGGGGGGGCGGGGGGGGGGGGGGGGGAGGGGGGGGGGCGGGAGGGGGGGGGGGGGGCGACCCCCGGGCTCCGGAGGAAAAAGTTGGCAATTTTCCACAGTAAAGCGGCGGTGGATCACGCTCTCTCGCGTCTGGAGACATACCCCCCAGCCTGTGTATAGAGACGGTAGCTGGATGACGACACCTGATGTGACTCCATACGATCCTGCTCGGAAGGAGCTGAATGCTCAGAGCGCTATACTTGATGGCAGCCCGCTGAGTCGCGGAACGAAGCCGCCGAACAGACAAGCTGACATAGCCCACTGGTCTGATGATGACGGCCAAGCGAATATGTCACAAATTCCACATGTAAGTCGCCACCGTGCCTACATAACCCCGCTTGTGCCTCGTGAGTATTCCTTCCCCTTGGATCATTCATTACCCTTTCCTCTCGCACACCATGTTCCGAATGCCACCAGTTGCAGCCAGAGTCTCAAGCGGGTGCAAGCAAAATGAGAAGCGAATCGGCACATTCCGCCGCCAGCAGCCTGCGCAGAGACAGCGTGGCCAGCATGAATGATCCCAAACCTCCTCCTCCTCCTCCTCATCATCCTCCTCCCCCTGCTCCTCCTCGTCCTCCTCTCCTCCTCCTCCTCCTCCTCCTCCTCCTCCTCCTCCTCCTCATCATCATCATCATCATCATCATCACCATACTCAGCATCATTGTGATGTCATAATCCACTCCTGCTCTTGCGACGAAGATGCATTATCATGTCACTGTCACGTAGCAAAGTATTCAAAGTCATCATCCTCATTATCCTCCTCCATCTCAAACTCCTCCGCATCCTCCCGATCATCATAGCTACTGCTCATGCTAATGGTCCTTATCCTCCTCCTCCTCATCCTACATATCCTTCTACTCCTCCCCGTCACCCATCATCGTTCAAATCGCCATCAATCCTAATTAGCGTCATCATCAATATCATCATGAACGGAATCAGCATCGTCAGCATTACCATCAATCATGTTCATCACCACCATCAGCATCACCACCACCACCATCAGCATCATCATCAGCATCATCAGCAGCATCATCAGCAGCATCAGCATCATCATCATCATCAGTATCATTACCATCAGCAGAACCAGCAGCACCAGCATCAACAGTATTATCAGAATCATCAACAGCATCAGTATCATCATCAATGTCAGCATCAGCATCGTCATCATCATCAGCAGCATCAGCAGCATCAAAATCACCATCGTCAGCAGCAGCAGCATCATCAGCAGCATCATCACCATCATCGTCGTCAGCATCGTCTTCGTCATCATCATCATCACCATCGCCAGCCCAATCATCATCATCAGCATCATCAGCATCAGCATCATCATCATCAGCAACATCAGCATCAGCATCAGCATCATCATCGTCATTGACATCATCATCAAAATCACAATCATCAGCATCTTCAGCAGGAGCATCACCATCGGAGACATCAGCATCGTCACCAGCAGCATCATCATCAGCATCAGCATCGTCATCACCAGCATCGGCATCATCATTAGCAGTGTAGTAACCGTCGTCATCATCATCATCATCATCATCATCATCATCAGCAGCAGCAGCAGCATCCTCATCATCGGCGTCGTCATCGACATCATCATCCCCATCGTGTTCAGCACCATTGCCAGCACCATCATCCGTAGTACCATCTTCATCATCAGAATCATCAACAGCAACATTATCATCAGCATCATCAGCATCATCATCGTCATCGTCATCATCACCAGAATCAGCATCGTCGTCGTCATCAGCATCGCCAGCATCATCATCAGCATCATCAGCATCAGCATCATCATCAGCAGCATCATCAGCAGAAGCAGCATTAGCATCATCAGTACCATCATCATCATCAACCGCACCATCAGCATAGGCATTGCCAGCATTATCAGCATAATCAACCACAGCATCAGCATCCTCATCATCAGCATAATCAGCTACATCATCAGCGGCATCACCAGCAGCATATAGCAGCATCAGCAGCACCATCATCAGTAGCATCATCAACATTATCATGTTCGTCATCATCATCGTCATCGTCGTCATCATCAACGTCAACATCGTCATCGCCAGCATCACCATCGTCACAATCATCAGCAGCAGCATCGTCAGCATCAGCATCACAACCATGATCAACAGCAGCACGATCATGGTCGCAACGCCATGAGTTCTGGGTTGTCTCTCCCTCCAAGCGGGCGGGCCCAGCTCTGCACCCCCCCCCCCAGGGCTTGCCGCCAGTGCGGCACCCGGCGGCGGCGGAGCCTGCCGACAGGGGGGGGGGGCAGAGGGAGAGGGACGGGGGGCCCCTGATAGGGGGCCACATGCGAACCCTACCCCTGCCCCCCACGATTTCTGAGGGGGAGGGTGGGGTTCACTTCGTTCGGGAGCTCCCGAACGAAGTGATGATGATGAGGAGGAGGAGGAGGAGGAGGAGGAGGAGGGAGAAGGGAGCTGGGGGGGGTAGGCGGACGAAAAGGATAAGGATAGGGAGGCGGAGGAGGAGAAGGAGGAGGAGGAAGAGGAGGAGGAGGAGGGGTAGGATGAGCAGGAAGAGGAGGAGGAAGGGGGATGGGGACGGGCTTTTTGGAGGCGGGATCGGGGATGGGGGAGAGCAGGAGGTCTGGCGACTGCCAGGGCACGGTACTTTTCGTCGTCATCCCCCGCTTCCTCTTCCTCCTTTCGCATGCCCTCCTTAGTCTCCCCCCTCTCTCTCTCTCGCGAATGCGCGGGCCGCCCGCCGCGCGGGAGGCCGCCGCCGCTCCTCTCTCTGCGCTCTGCTCGTCCGCCGTCCTCGTCCTCGCCGTCTCCTCTCCCCATGGGCGCGCGCGAGGCCAGCCTGGAAACCCAGGTAGGGGGCCACATGCGAACCCTACCCCTACCCCGCACGATGTCTGAGGGGGAGGGCGGGGTTCACTCCGCTCGGGAGCTCCCGAGCGGAGCGAACCCCACCCTCCCCCTCAGAAATCGTGGGGGGTAGGGGTAGGGTTCGCATGTGGCCCCCCATCTTTGGAGATGGACAAACTGGTTCAGACAGTTGGTCTCGCTGTCGGCCGAAAATGTTCAGCAGTTGCAGGAAGACGCCCAGTCCCGGGCGGAGATCACTACCTACCAGACCACCCCAACCCAACCCGAAGACCCGAATTTCGGGCTGGGGGGGGGTACGGGCTTCATACGTGTTTTTCCTATGTTCCCCGATCCCCCCCACACTGGAAATGGAGGGCAAATCGGGGCCTTCGGGTTGGGTTGGGGTGGTTTGGTGGGCGGTGAGGAGAGGGCAGACAGAAGGGCGGCTTCGGAGGCTCGGTCACGGTGGAGGGCGTGGCTCTCGGGAGGCCCTTGCGGGCTCTGCCTCTGCGGCCCCTCGGCTGCTGCAGCCTGGCGGGCCCTAGCGGGCCGAAACCCGGCCCGATGCTTCAAGGACACCAAGCCACCACTAGGGCCAGTGATCTCCTGGTTGTCGAGTCGGAGGCATGGGATGCTATCTGGAGCCAGCCCTGGAAGCTTTGGCGACCCGGAGGGTTGCTGCCCGAGCCTCTCAAATGTCCGAGCCCATCACTGCCTCCCAGGTGAGAGCGTCCTTGAAAAGGATGTCTGACCGTCATGGTAAGGGTGCAGACGGTTTGCCCCCGCGTTCGGTCAACGACGCGCCTTCGGTGGGCGTCGAGGCCCCGGCTAACCTCTTGCCGTCTATTGAACGGGAGGCGACGGTCCCTTTTCAGGACTCTTTAACATCATTGCCCTCCTTGATAAGGGGGATGGAGACCTGAGGCCCATTGCTCTCTTGAGCTTATGTTACGTGCTACTGTGTAGGATCCGCAAGCCAGTGATAGGGGCCTGGGATCGCGATGCACATGGACCTTGGAGACTGTCGGGACGTCTGCTAAACATGCAGGATGGATCGATGAACTTGAGTCCGGATTCGCACTGATACTGTAGGAGGATTTAGTGCTGCTGGTGGTCTTTTGGACATGAGGAGGCTTTATGATCTGGTATGCCTGCCTGAACTTGCCCAAGCCTCCTCCGACCTCCGATGCACCCATCCGCCTCCTCGTCTTAGACCTGGACATCTAACTAGGGTTATGTTGCTCCCATCGTACAGACGGACCACAATCCAGAAATAATTCCGAGCACCCAGAAAAGTGTCGAAACAGTGTCGAAACAGTGTCGAGCATGTGTCTCCCAGGGCCCGACACGTGAAAACCCTCGAGTTTCGGTACTTTCCTGGTGCTCGAAATTCTTTCTGGTGATTCAGGCTAAAAGTAGATTGAAACATCATCAACCTAGGGCCGAGGATGCTGACCCTGCAGCATCAAGTCCATCCAGGTCTTCTTCATGGAGGTGGGATCCTCGCGGGCTGCGGCCAGGCGGTGTCCCAGGCGAGATCCTTTGTGTATGCACCGCTGGATGCCACTAACAAGGCCGCCCCAGGACTTCGCCTCAGGGAGTGGGTGGACATTTCTTTCGCCTGCCATGCTCTGAATACTCGATCAGCGTCTCCTTCCCAGTGGTCCTGCGCGCCCTCCTCCAGGGCCTGCGAAGGAGTAAGGTTGTCCTGGCCTTGCCCAGGTGCTGTTTGCCGGCCTCCTCAGCCTCTCTCCGGCACCAGCTCGATGGATGGGCTGCGGAAGCCGGGGGTGAAGCTCCTCAGCTCGGCCAGGCACAGGCTGCTAGGGATCTCAGATACGACACCACCATGGGAGCCACTAGGTATGGGAAGGTCAGGAAAACTAGATGTTTGAAGGGCCGTCGAGCGGCTCTCAAGATTTCGGGGCTTGTGAGGACCTCCAGGCCTCTAAAGCTTTCCCGAAGGTTCATGGTCTTGCCCCGTCCATGATCAGGCAGCTTCGGGGCCAGGCGCGTTTGAGCAGCAGAGTGCCCGCAGAAGGGCACATGCGCCACTAACGCGATAAGAATTACGCTACCGAGGAACCCCACATACTTAACTTAAATTTTGAGTGTTTGCTTAAGTTTATCATATATGTGCAATTCTGCGTTCTCAGCCCTCGTCGCGAATGTTCCCCTATGTGTCATCCAACGCCATATTGCTTGAACCTCCTCCCTCTTCCTAGCCTTCTATCCTCCGTCGAGGACAGATTCGAGCCAGCCAGCGGCCGCGGTGAGGGACCACCCCCTGCGCACCCCCAGTGGTGTCGAGAAAATGCCGCGCCTGCTATGCCCTGGACGACCGTCGTGCATAGCGGCCGCGGTGAGGGACCACCCCCTGCGCAGCCTCTATGGTGTCGAGAAAGTGCCACGCCTGCTATGCCCTGGACGACCGTCGTGCATAGCGGCCGCGCTGAGGGACCACCCTCTGCGCACCTCCTGTGGTGTCGAGAAAGTGCCACTCCTGCCACGATCTGCGAGCGTGTCACGGATAGAGGCCGCGCTGAGGGACCACCCTCTGCGCACCCCCTGTGGTGTCGAGAAAGTGCCACTCCTGCCAAGATCTGCGAGCGTGTCACGGATAGAGGCCGCGCTGAGGGACCACCCTCTGCGCACCCCCTGTGGTGTCGAGCAAGTGCCACTCCTGCCACGATCTGCGAGCGTGTCACGGATACAGGCCGCGCTGAGGGACCACCACCCTCTGCGCACCCCCTGTGGTGTCGAGAAAGTGCCACTCCTGCCACGATCTGCGAGCGTGTCACGGATAGAGGCCGCGCTGAGGGACCACCCTCTGCGCACCCCCTGTGGTGTCGAGAAAGTGCCACTCCTGCCACGATCTGCGAGCGTGTCACGGATAGAGGCCGCGCTGAGGGACCACCCTCTGCGCACCCCCTGTGGTGTCGAGAAAGTGCCACTCCTGCCACGATCTGCGAGCGTGTCACGGATAGAGGCCGCGCTGAGGGACCACCCTCTGCGCACCCCCTGTGGCGTCGAGAAAGTGCCACTCCTGCCACGATCTGCGAGCGTGTCACGGATAGAGGCCGCGCTGAGGGACCACCCTCTGCGCACCCCCTGTGGTGTCGAGAAAGTGCCACTCCTGCCACGATCTGCGAGCGTGTCACGGATAGAGGCCGCGCTGAGGGACCACCCTCTGCGCACCCCCTGTGGTGTCGAGAAAGTGCCACTCCTGCCACGATCTGCGAGCGTGTCACGGATAGAGGCCGCGCTGAGGGACCACCCTCTGCGCACACCCCTGTGGTCGAGAAAGTGCCACCCCTGCCACGATCTGCGAGCGTGTCACGGATAGAGGCCGCGCTGAGGGACCACCCTCTGCGCACCCCCTGTGGTGTCGAGAAAGTGCCACTCCTGCCACGATCTGCGAGCGTGTCACGGATAGAGGCCGCGCTGAGGGACCACCCTCTGCGCACCCCCTGTGGTGTCGAGAAAGTGCCACTCCTGCCACGATCTGCGAGCGTGTCACGGATAGAGGCCGCGCTGAGGGACCACCCTCTGCGCACCCCCTGCGGCTCGAGAAAATGCCACTCCTGCCACGATCTGCGAGCGTGTCACGGATAGAGGCAGCGCTGAGGGACCACCCTCTGCGCACCCCCTGTGGTGTCGAGAAAGTGCCACGCCTGCCACGATCTGCGAGCGTGTCACGGATAGAGGCCGCGCTGAGGGACCACCCTCTGCGCACCCCCACCCCCTGTGGCGTCGAAGGAATGCCCTGTGTGGTATGCTGTGCTGTGCTGTGCTGTGCTGTGCTGTGCTGTGCTGTGCTGTGCTGCTGTGCGGTGAGCTGTGCTGTGCCGTGTCGTGCCGTGCCGTGCCGTGCTGTGCTGTGCTGTGCTGTGCGAGAAGGAGAAGGGGAGGGGGGAGGTGTGAGACGCGGGTGCGGCGCGGCAGGGAAGAAAACCAGAACCCCACGAAACATGTGGGGAATAAACATTGGTGCGAGCCGAGACCCGGCAGTCCTGTAGACTAGGCGTCTCATCGGCGCTTGCTCCAGCAGAGTTCTCAGGTCCCCTCAACTCGTTGCACGCACGCCTTGGTGCGCAGTGGTCGGCCTCCCTGGAACGTGTGAAGAAAAGGTTGGTATTTCGTTGGGGGGGCCTCTGGCCGCTTTTCGAGCCTCCATCATGGACCTCGGGTGGAGTTGCCCGCCCATGGTCCTCGAGGAGCCTCCGGCAGGCCCGGGGCGGAGCCGCGCACGCCTTTTGGAACGGCTGCGCCCTCGGCCCCGCGAGGCTCCCTGCGCTCTGGGCGCTGGCGCGCCTGCGCGGCCAGCCTGGGTCGGGCCTGTCCCCCTACGGGGGGATTAGGGGCGAAAATGCTACAAATACTCAAAAGAAATACTCCTGAAATTCTCAACATTGGTATTTTCTTATTTTTATTAGTTTAAATAAACACGAAAAAAAAACAAACAAACAAAAAAACAACAACAACAACAACAACAACAACAACAACAACAACAACAACAACAACAACAACAACAACAACAACAATTACTAGCACGTGGGGACACTCCGTTCTCACCAGTGCCAGGGTTTTCATAGGAGGCGGGCAATACCCCCACTTTGTGGGGGGGCCGGTTCAAGCTCTACCAAATTTCCAAACGACTCTTCGCCACCACCCACACCCAGCTTCCCGCCCTATGACGTTCGGACACTTCACTTCGTGGCATGCGGACGACCGTGGCTACTATTCAGGGCCCCGCGGCCGACGACGACGGCGTGCGCGCGCGAAGAAAAAACGAATGTGTCCCGCATGGTATTATTTGACAGGGATGATGGCCCTGGCAGGTGCGCAACCGTTGTCGCAGAAGTTCGAAAAAGTTGCTCGCAAAAGCCCGTTTGACAGAAATGTTTAAAAAGTGTTGGGTTTCCTACGAATCCGCAAGAGCGCGCGGGATGAGATTTTGACAATTTTTTGTTGAAAAACCATTGGTTTTTTGATGTTTGTATGTTAAAATCGCTACGAACACTAAGGTTTTGGAAGGATTTCGTCTTGCGCGCGCGAATGTCCACTTTACCTTATTTTTTGCAAGGGATTCTTGAAGTTTGGTTATGTTAGAACAAGAAATTTCATTTTATAGTGTTTTTTGCAAGGGAAAGCGGGGGACAACAAAACAACCGGATCTGGACAACCCGTTTTGCCTGAGACTTCCTCACGAAAATGATGAAAATGAGGCTGCGGCCTAGGCGCGGCGGGGGGGCGTGCACCAGGGGGCCCAACAATAATTATTCTTTAGAAGTAATAATATTCAACAACAAAAAACGTCCCCATACTATCTTTCGACGATCTTTGAACTTTCCTCCTGTAGAAGGACAGGCCCGACTTGAGGCCAGCCTCAGACCAACGATTTCTGCGCAGGCGGACCGTGTCGCCAAATTGTCCCGCAGCCTGGGTCGTTGGTTGGCGGCGCGCAGAAGGGGGTGGAGGGAGGGGGGAGGCCTTCTTAGAAGGAGGCTGCTTCTTAGACGGCGCCGGCCTTACGTCCATGGATAAGGCCCGCGCCTTCTAAGAAGCAGGGGTGCTTCTAAGAAGCCCTCCCCCCTCCCCCCCACCCCCCTCGGCGCGTGGCTGAGTTGACGCGTTTGCGCGGCCAGCCTCAAGCCAACGATTTCTGCGCAGGCGGACCGCGTCGCCAAAGTGTCCTGCAGCCTGGGTCGTTGGGGCCTCGAAAGTCGGGGGCGCGCAAACATGGGTTAGCGATCCATGGATCTGGCGCGCGGTCGCCAAATCCATGGATCGGGGGAGGTGCCCTCCCCAAAATGCGGCGGGCGCCGCCTCGCTCGGCGGCGGAAATCCACGATTTCCCATGGAAACGGGACCCGTCGCTAATCCACGCCCTCTTAATCCATGGTTGCGATCGCCTGATACTGAGAAGCCCCGCCGCCGTCTGCGAAGAGCTGCCCCCTCTCACTTCCCCCGCGGGCTCGCCGCCAAGCGGAGATGATCGCGCCTCGCGCGTCGCGGCCTGGGCTGGAGAGGCGCCGCTCTCCAGAGCAGCGGCGCGGTGGTGCGAAGATCACTTCGCGCACCGCGGAGCGCGGTGCGCGAAGTCTGGCGACCTTGCTTCCGAGCAGGAGAGTTTCGAGCAGGATGTTTGCGATCGCCCGAGAAAGACGCCCGCCTCCACTTCGGACGCCCGAAATGGGCACGAAAAGAACGGGCACGATGCCCAACAACAAACGCTGTCCCAAACCAACCGCGGCCGCTGGTGGGCAGGCGGCCCTCTGCCTCGAAGGGACACAGGCCGCGGCGGCGTGGACAGCGAGCCCTGCCCAAAATGAACAAGATGGGCATTGTACACCCTGCGAAATGCTGAAGAAATCATGGGTTCAGAAATTCAGAGTCTCAGAATTTGAATAAAAACCCAGAATTTCTATCTCAATCTTAGGATTTGCATTGAAACATTCGAGACTCTGGCCGAAAACTTAAGTTTTCTTAAGCATCGCCTGGGGTGTACCCATTCTATCCGTGCCCATGCCGGCCGTCCCGCCTCCACGGGAGGAGGAGGAGGCCCCGGCGCCCGCCTTCACGGGCGCCGCCGGCGCCGCCGCGGCGGCGGGGGCTGGGGCGGGCTTCTGGGCGGGCGGCGCGCGAGGGGAGGGCGGGGACGGGGCGGCGCGGGGCGGGGAGGGCGGAGGGGGGGGGGAAGAAGAGGAAGAAGACGAAGAGGAAGAAGAAGAGGAAGAAAGAGAAGAAGAAGAAGAAGAAGAAGAGGAAGAAGAGGATAAGAAGAAGAAGAAGAA